TACGTATTCAGTTGATTTAATGTTGATAATGGTTTATTTTTACTAATTGTCTTGTTTAAATATATTAAGTCATGCTTTCTTCCAGAGTATGGTAAGAAGTTTAAGTTGTTGGTGGAAGGTAATAATGTAGCTTAGTAATATATATATTTATGTCGATTTTGTTTCTGTTATTAACTCAATTGATGAGATGACATTAAAACAATGTTTAATAGTATATAAATATTTATAGAGAAAACCGTAATATTATTCTTTCACTGGCAATTTCAATTACATTTACTTTTACAAGTGTCAGCTGTGTCAACTTGACTCAACTGTTCTTGGAAATCAAAAGTATATGGATAAACAGCTGAATCCATAGACATATTGTTAAAAACGGATTTAATTTTAATATATTTTCAATATCAACAAATACACAACAGGTCTTTGTGAGATTTATTTTGCAGTTACCATACAAACGTTAGTACTACAACCATTCCTATTTTAGGAAACCTGGATTATAAAAAACGTAGTAAAACGGGCGAGCACGAGCTTTCCTTTGTGATTACATCCAGAGTGGCAGGGGGCGCTCCTGTCCCACTGACCTAGTGACACGGTGCCCAAAGCAAAAAGCTTCATTCCGCACTGTACCACTGGCATAGCGAATAAACTTGAATGTGTAAATACACTGCCAGTTCGTACTCCATACAAGCCGTGAATGATTGATGTGGCCCCTATATTATTGTACGTGTGAATATCCTATTTTTTTACTTCATAAAGCAAATATTTTGTAATATCTATTGTATTGAATTGTTCTTAACTGAAGCAGTCAGCTGCTCTGACGGCTTACAGACTAAAGTCATATTTGTAGTTTTATTTGGAACGTGATCAAGAGTAAACCTTAACCTTATAAAATCGATAATAATGTCATTTGCCTCTTACATTGACCGCGAAATATGGAATTATTACGTTCAAGAGTAGAGAGTTTAACTAGGTACAGTGCAATATTATTGGATCGCACTGTTTTACCTATTGGATTTTCGTCTGAAAAATTGTAATAGTCTTTTGTAGACAAACTAAAAATGCCCTATATTAATATTTTTAATTTTGACTTGATTCTTTATAAAAAATAGTACGTTTGTACAAGTACTTACACATACTTACATGGGTTGAGAATGTTATCTTGTATCAAATCGCCTACAATCTCCCAATTTTTGTTGTGTTTATTCAACTGCTATTCTAAATAGACACTAGCAGAGTTAACGAAGCAGTGCTAATAATAATTCCATTTGGCCCGGATACGTCCCTTTCTACTCCGATGCATAGTAACCTAACAGTGCTAGGTCGTTTCCTGTTATGCTTTTTCTCGAAATGAAGTCCTAACGAGAACAAATGGGCTATTTAGTCGCCTGAATATGGGTTACGTGCCTAACTCATTCACCACATAACTGCTTCCATATCAACAGACCGCGAAGTATTTATAATATATTATTACATACAGGACAACAAATAAATATTTTGCTTAATTTATTAGCATAATTTCTAAACTTATATTCAATGTACAACTATTAATAACATACTGTTAATAATTAACTATTAATAAATTAAAGACAATTTAAGAGTTAATTTGGTTTATAAATAAGTGTTAAATTGGGTTTAAAAACCAGCTTAAAAATAATGTCGTAAAGCTACGACAACCATAAATATACATGCACAATAAAAGTATGTACCGACACGTGTTGCACATTTGCATCCCATATTGTTGGCTAGCGACGTCACGTCATTCATTTTTTCATTTCTATTTCTGTTCTTAAGAACCTTTCCCTTTTAGGGTAGCGAAGGAAAAGGCAATTGTTACGAAATTTTACTGCTGTGAATTCGACTTTCATAAAGTTGTCCATTGTCCTCAACTTAAATGTCATCCAGAGTCCTCGAAAAGTTTATAATTAACGTTACGGAAAAATTCGAACTGAGGAAATCGAATGCCTCTGAGGAGTCGTTTAATCAAACTCGAGACTTAGAGCAAGTAAATGGAGAGGTGCGGTCGGCCATCGGTCCTCCGACGGGCGTTCGGTGCGGTGCGGGGTCGATATCTCTCAGAGACAACTTTACAACTTCATTACCATCTGATTTATCTCTGAAGTCCTATCAAAGCTAGACTTAACAAACATATGCTGACTTAATAATTATAAAAGTGAGGTTAAATTATTAACTGTTGATAAATAAAATTGGAGTGTCCGTTTGTAATATTGAAATAACCATTTTTAACTCTTTAGATATACGTATATACGGTACATACTCCAAAATAATATTTTTTTCCATTTTTATCTGTCTGTCTTTTTGTTCCGGCTAATCTCTAAAATGGCATGACTGATTTTGACGGAATATTTTTGGCAGGTGTAATAAGGAGTATCCTAGGCTACTTTTATTTTATAGAAATAAAGATAAATTCCACGCGGACGAAGTCACGGGTTCAGCTAGTATAAAAAAATATTTGATGTATTGATACTTACTTTTAGTACTAGTAGTAAGTACTTACTTTTTATACTTTTAGGTATTGACTTAAGGGGGTCTTCCTATGTGAGGCCTGTTTTTTAGGGATATTTTAGGATTTTTTTTCTACGACCAGTAAATATTTAGAGCTTCAAGTTTTTTATCATTTATTAACACATATTTGGACAGTATAAATATAAAATTTCAGCTAAAAATATTCAGTCAAACTAGAGTTACAGCGCTCTGAACACCCCCGCCTCGAAAAAAAGAGCTCCCACTTCCTCCACGATTCCGGCTGATCGGCTTATCTGAAAAAAAAAAAAAAAAAAACGGCGTTTTAATTTGTAGGCTTAAAAGCACGGAAATACAATAATAAAATGAAAATAAAAAAAAATTGATTTTTGATAGACATTTTAAATAAAAGTTGCAAATTAGGCGTTTTTTTTTTTTTTTTGCTATAAAAAAATCGAAGTTTTGAAAATTTTCGATTGATAATAGTTCATTCCATGCGTTTACATATATTGAGTGTGCCCTGTAAATTTCAAGTAATTCGGTCCAGCCGTTTCTGAGATACAACGGAGGAAAGTTTGAAAAACACAGTTTTGAGAAAAACGCGTTTAAAGTTTCAAGTCCGTTAAAAACTATTAAAATATCAACTTACTCTCAATCGGCGATATAGAGTATTCCTTCCTCTTCCTCGTGAAACTCTTTTAAAGCAGATTGTTCAGCTCTTGAGTCAATCCTGGCTTGTTTAACGACATCACTTACGCGCCGCTCAGAGCGTTAGTTTCGCTTTTCATCCCGTTTCTCAACATACGCTTGGGCTTCACGACCAACAGGGCATCCCATAATCGACATTACTTTTAAAATACCTTGAAAACCTTCATTAAAGATAATAACTGAAGTAGCTAGCAATTTCAACAACTTTGGGACCAGAATGAAGATGTTTATCCAAATCAAAGAATTCAAAGATTCGTTATTGTTTTGTGTCTCTGCTCCTAAACAACGAATTAATAATTCGTCTTTCGATAAATCTTCGAAAACCGGTTTGATAGCTTCTTGGACTTGCGGAATTAGAGGTGGTTTATCGTGATGAAATTGGTCCAGTTCATTATTAGCTTCAGCCTTACGCCATTTACACCAACTGTCTTCGCCTTCTGGACAAAATTGATGCTGAGGGTTTTCATCAGAAGAACATTTGTGATAGTACGTTGCCCAAACTTCCTTTCTCATATCTTCAAGCGAATCTGGATGGCGTCGAATTGCTAATCCGTAGAATTTTGTAATTTCTTGGATAACTTTATCAGTAAGTTTACCTGCTCCTTTTCCTCCTATTCCTTTATTGGTTTTATCCTTTTTAAGTCTGTAGAAACGTGTCTAAACTTGTATAAACAAATATATTAATAAAAGATCCAGGTATAAAGCCGACGGTACACAATAGGCCCGGTCTATAACTGCCAACTCACCGCTCCGAACCGCTCTTTCTTTTACCTGCTGTATCTTTAAAACGACTTCGAATTTTCTAAAATCGCTTTACTACCGTATTCTAGACATGTTAAGGGAGCAATTTATGAAAAAAAAAAAATCGATTTTTTCAACCCATCACATAGGAAGACCCCCTTAAATTTAACATAATGCATAAATGGTTTTATGTAGTGAAAAATTGACAGAAACTTAGACAGCCGCGAACTTATTAAGATTTAGGGCTCTTCGAATTGGCCTACTTGAATAAAAAATGTGATCGCTGTTCATTCCCAATCCTTATTTATTATCCTTCGAAATTGAATTGCATTTTCGCCAACAAACGGATATAAACTTTTTTGAATTCTTATTGTGCGGCATCTCCTTTGTCCTATTTCATCTGAAGCACCTTTGTCTTCTGTTTTATTATTTACTTAGTTATATTAAAATGCTTATACGTTCCATTTAATCCCCTTTGTGTTTGTAATCTAACGTCAAACCTGGTTTATTTACAAGGTAGACAGAAGAGACAAGAGGCAACGGAAAGTGATATCATGTTCATAACCCGGCTCGGGGAGCCAGCGTAAACCGTTAGCGCAAGCAGGTGTATTTTCCATTATCATCTATTAAAAAAACCCGGCTTTAGGCGAGTTGTTATTACACTAACAACCCTGTTGCTAGCAATGTACGTCCGGTTAACCTCCACGCGGTTCACCCTGGAAACCATCGTGGTAATTTGGCATTTGTCAAGATAGGCTAACTGCGCGCGTAAATTGTTAGCACAAGCGGGTGCATCATTTCATTTCAATTTCATTATCATTCGTAAAAAACAGCTCTGGTGTAGCTACATGGCAAATTGTACCTATATCCTCTTTCCCTTTGTGTTGTATAGTTGTTTACCCATCTTTCATCTGACATTCGTAGGTGACTCTTTTTCTCATGTGCAACTGTCTTTCAAATTAGCTATCTCTTCCAATTAGAACCAATTTCGTTTATATTTTTTATAAACAGAAATTTGAAGCAGCGAAATGTATTTGTATTTTAATCATTTTTATTTTTATTTTTTACAGCATCTCATCTCACGAACAGTCGACTCAGCGAATATATCGAGCGCTACGAACCGTTAGATTACGATGCAGATGCAGTCCACGAGCAACATCTTCGTAGACGGCGGTCTACAGACACACAGACAGACCTACGATTGCACTTCCGGGCGCATGGTAGAAGATTCAATCTTCGCTTACGCCGAGATCTCTCGGCTTTTAGTGATGATTTTCAGGTAAACAAAATGTTTAAATATCTCCTAACCTTTTCTTCTTTTTTAAATAAGTAAGCTCTAATCCAGACTTGGAACTACCTTGAAAATATGTCTATGCCGTTAACCGATGACATATACTCTTTTTGGCGACACCATAATAGTACCCAACGTAGAAAGCATGAAGAGAATGTTCTTATAAACAATACCGAAAGGCAACGTAGGTAAACTATCGTAGTCATATTTCATCAAAAGCCATTGCGTATGTGGTTTGTCGCGTCCTGTAATCGTCCACCATATGTGATGTGTTTGCAACTTATTACATTTTAAAACATATTTTCTCATTGAGATGATCCTGTAATGAAACAGAAAGTAATGTCGGATTGAAGATTTTCCCATCGAATTTTGGAGATTTTGTGCTTGTAGCGATGGCGGAAAAATATGTGGGAGGTAGGGATAAAAATTAAATTTTGGGCATCGTGGGGGATTTCATGAGCGTTCATGTAGGCTTAAAAATAATCTATATCTATCCTAATTAGTTGTTATCTGACAGATATCAACAGAGCCTGAAGTTTATCACAAGATGTAAAGATTGTATTTGAAATGTTTTTATATAAATATTTTTTTTAGGTGGAAGGTTCACAGGGACAACTCCACGACGTCGACACGTCACACTTATATCACGGCGAATTGGCTGGTAAGTTATTCATTTATAATTAAGTTTAATATAATTTTTATTAATAAAACATCGTAGTTTGATGATAATTAATCGATGTTTGCTCAGACGTTATAAAATTCGATTCATGAGTTACATTACTAAAGAACATAAATATCTCAATTTATAAAGCCATATACACAATATGTTTATATGGTACGATTCGACTATTATATTACAGACTATTACTATTACTAGTAATCAAAACAGTAGCTACTTCCTAAACGAACTATCAGGAATTGCAGTAATTTTATAACACAATAACTCGGAAGCGTAAACAACTTAGTTTGAGATAAAAGCTTTAACATCGCCTACCCTTATACCTAGTAACAAGATAGCCTCAAAGTTTGGATGTGGTATGTTGCGAATTGGCAACAGCCAAACGGGCGCGACTCTCATTGTGCACTGGATCCGCCGACGCAGCGCCCGACATTATCTACACCAAGATAGAGCGCTATTGTTTGTCCTCGTCCCGCGAGACAATTTAATAAATCCTGCCTCTGACTATGTCAACCGCGATTGTGTCTTTCTATAATCAAAAGCAGCCTAAACGTGAACTACTTTTTCTTAATATGGATTTAGATTAGACACAGTAGGCGAATTCTCATTCCCTATTGCTTTTCACGTTATATTTAGTGTAAACATGAGATAACTACTGGTATTTAAGGAGGAGCAGGCATTTTAGCGATCGATCGTCATTGTTGCTATAAAGACATTACCGTAAAATACCTGAAGTTTGTCACACATATGCCTGTTTCATTGGCGTGATCAGTACACTAACATTAGTTGATTGCATAATAATTCTTGTTGTTACATGTCTGTTTTATGTTTTAATTTACAAATTCATATTTCTAGGGTTATCCAATTACCATCTTTTCTAGTTTTTTATTTTCATCTTGTCAACGCTGCAAAGATTTGTTGTTTCACGTCAAGAAAACTAATAATGATTTCTTAAGAGCATTAAAACATATTTCTTTTTGCAATTACTGGTGGGACCGCGTCAAAGTCTCGGCTAATTGGGAGCTTTCGGCGACCACTTGACTTTTAATGTGGGGTGCAGCCCGGAGTCGACGCCAGCCCGGTAGGCTTACGAAAGAAAGATGCTATGTAAATAATCTTTTTTGAAAATTTCGACGCCATTCTCCATTCCCGAAGTATGCAAATTATGTTCGCTAAATAAAATCTTATCGTTTATGTTTGTATAAATAAATAAATCACCATTGCAATAGGCCACGATGTTTAACTTTATGTGAAGTTGGCTACTCTATTTGTTCTACTTGAAGTTCTTGGTTACTCTATATTGCGATAACAAAAGGCAACGAAGTTTGTAAATTATCTTGGTCTACTTCGCATACAATAGACTTATTGTTAGGACAGACTAGACTAGACAGATTTTGTTACATTTAAATAACTGTAATATCAGCTCAAAACATATAAAACATTTGAAATCTATGCCTAAGTTTTATATGTTTTCGATCGATCCCCCGTCCAATTTAAAAGAGGGTGGAAATTACAAAAGCCTGTCCCGAGGTTCGAACCCCTAGTCATGGCATCAGACTGAAGTCGTATCCGTCATGCAGGAATTAGCCTTCATCCACTGCCACAACTACCAATTTCAGTCATCCCACGAGTTGGGAATCCATTTGCACCCCCGGCCCCCTTTCGTTGGGTAAAGCTGCATAAGTATACGCCGGCTATGATCAACGGCATTAGAACAGTTTAAAAAATATATTTAACGACCTGTAACACATGGACGGCAAAACGTCCTCATTGGATGACGCCCGTGTTAAGCTTTATAAGTAGCTATACCTGAGGATTGCGCTGACATGGCTATAATATTACAGGGTGTGCACCCTGTAATTTTATAGCAAAACAAGCCACATCGGTAGAGATGTGTGAGATTTTCGACGATTTTCCACAAAATCTATCTAGGGATATAACAATATCTGCGTGTGTTTATATTATACATTATTCTACGTTTGTTGTGATCGGGGAACTTTTGGAGCTGTGTAAATGGATAAAGTTATGGTGAGGGCGCTGTCGCATCGATCGCAGTTCGTCGCCCTACTTACTGCGATGGATGCACTTAACGCGAGCTGCAGCAGACGTTTAGCATGCAACTCCCACTGCTACAACTCCACAATCACATGTTTAATTGCAACGTTTCCTGTAAACTATAAAAAAATGGGCCGATCAAGTTTTGTATGTAGAATCGTTTCCTGAACATTTCAGAATAAAATAAAGTTTGAAAGTTATATCGTTTACTATTAATAGCATAATAATGCGATAGCTATCAACGTATTAAAAAAATCGAGTCCGTTGTAATAATATCGTAAGCGTAAGGGTTCAATACTTATTTTTATTATCCAATGGGTTCAATAATCATAATTTTGATTCTGACTAAAATTTTTGTGTCAGTATTAATTTCCGAAGGATCACTACTGTCGCGTTACATTTCAAAAAAGCTCGGTAAAATGTGGGTATGTTGACAGATTTGCAATCAGACAGAAGTCAGACATGCCACTCATCAGCATATTTTTCTTATTTATTATTTTAGTAATCGATATATTGATGTACTTGTTAGCTTTGTTGATTTGTTTTGCTACTTGGTTTCTTTGGACTGTATGTAAAGTTTTACGTGAAGAAAAACTATGAGAAAGAATATTGATAGAGACAAAGTGGAATAATAGAGAACAATTAAGAAAACAGTTTAAAATATATTTACAGTAAAAGTGAAAGGCTCAAGCCCAGACTGATCGGCAATGTCCTTCAAATTAAGTTGATAAATGTGTAATATTATGTATATACCTAATCATTACAATTGGTGAATTAAGGCTTCCATGTAAGATGTAGACGTAAGAAGCAAACAAACTTAATTTCAAACAATTAATATTTTTATCGTATTTAAATTCATCCAAGAGGCACTACATAAAAGTACATAGCTGTTTAAAACACATCCCAGTAACCCGTACAAACCTGTATTATACAGTAAATAAAATTACTCGATAATAAAATAAATTTGATGTAATAGCAAACTCTTGACTTCAGAAAATGTACGTGAATTTTTCTGCTACTGCTCTTAAATTTTACTGAAAACATTTTCGGAGCCCTGTGGTTTGTGCGGGAAACATTTCACGTCTCTTTTCTATTTATTCACCAGCCTTCGTTATGTATGTCTAAAATACTTTCCCGAGTGTTTTTATAACTGCGCCCATAAAAGGTGGATGCCTATAATTGCATTTTATTACGAATTATTTAAAATCTAATAGACACTAAATTATCTATGTTACGAGATAATAATATTTAATCTGAATCTGTATAAAAAGTTGTTTTTTCTTCTCTATCTAATACTTTAAAGTCACAATATCGAATAATATTGTAAAGATAAATATTAGCCCTATTGTAAGTTTGCTTCAAATCAAAAAAATTAAAAAAAATAGTTGACCACTTTTAATAACTTAAATCAACTATATAGTTACAATATAATCGAATAACGTAGTCTGTATTCTACAATATTTTAGTTTTTGGATTTAGAATGTTTTAAACTTTACCAACAAACATTGTTATTTTAGTCGTATAAAAACCATTTATATTTTCCTACGACTACTTATTTGCACAATTACATTTCTAATTCTGTATACGATTTAGGAACTTAATTTAACGGAAGTGCAAACCGTGACATTAATTTATGAACGCAATATCAGCTGCATGTCGCGTGTGCTTACGAGCATGCAGTAGGTATGTTTAGTTCTACACGTGTACAGAGCTATACCTAATTATTGTTTAATTTACGTAGCAAGTCATTACAACCATGACGATCCCCCTATCACCTGCCGTTTACCCATAACAATGAGTCACCACTGCTAACCGTACTATTACTAGTTTAACAATAGGGTAACTTTTGACAAAGAGGGAATGGGATTGTAATACAGATTTCTGGGATATACTAGTAATGTATCCTTGACCTCCACGCAAACCCTTGGACATAATAGTGGTAAATGCCGAAGTAAGTACATTCTATTCTCATCTTTTCATTTACTAGCCCATTCAAGTTCAAATTTCCATTATCATTCCCAGATAAGCTAATAACAGAAATGAATCCCGTATCATATCGCCCTCGAGAAATTCACGTTTGTCGATATAATTTTGCTATTTACTTTTTTATGTCATTAGAACATTATTAAAATATAGGACGCCGAGGAAGGACATTATCGAAAAAGGGCTTTATGCATAATACACTTATTATAATAATGGCTTAATTAAAAAATTTGTCTACTTTATAATTGTGTTATTAAGTCTATTTTCAAAAATTTTTAATTTCTGAATTACACCAGTATTGTACTAGATATGCGACTTATTAACGCTCATCCTTACTAATATTATAAATGCGAAAGTAACTCTGTCTGTCTGTCTGTCTGTCTGTCTGTCTGTCTCGCTTTCACGCCAAAACTACTGAACTGATTTAAATGAAATTTGGTACCCATATAGTCTAGACGCCGAGGAAGGACATGTACAAAGTTTATTTACGGGTATATATCTGTATTTTTATTTACATTTCTGTGACATTTGACTTTGAATCGTATTCAAGAATACTTACTGTTTGATGTTTTATTGATTATCAGATAAGTTCATAGAGATTATATCAAACTAGCAACATATTAAATCCGAGTTCCTTGGTGACAGTCATATAAATTTAGTTATTTTATTTATAATATTATGTTATTGGTCTGGCTTTTCAAAGTCCATTTAAATTTGTAAATATCACATTGTCACCATTCAAGCAAATTTGAAGCGTTGTTTTTTGCCATATAAATTTAAGTACTAATATTCTTATTAAAAATAAAGTCTAGGAGTTTGTAAAAAGGGTTAGAAACTGAAAGAGGAATTTTTTAGTGTTGTGTGAATTTTTAATGTCAAATGATCTTTTGATTCAGCCATAAATGGTTAATGATTCTTCTATAATAATAAAAATGGATAAGCTG